CATGTGAGAGTATAGTACCCACAAGAGCATACTGAATGTGTAATTTTAATCGAAAAAAGATTGAAACATTGTAACACGTATACATATTGCGTATGATACCTGTTATATCTTTCATGAAACTATATATTGCCATAAAAGACATAGATTGCACACTGTTATGAGACGCTGAATCATTGAAATCTATTCGGAATGACAGATTTTATTAGGAACAGAATTTAGTGCATACTCCATCATTTCTGAAAATTTTCAGCTCGAGAGTATAACACGCCCCATTGAAAGATTAAACATGCGCCATTAGATAATCACTCCAGAGTCATAATAATGATGCTGTGAACAATAAAATTAGTACGGTTTTATACTATATTTATTTATACGAATCACAAGGACAATTCAAACGAAAGACTTCTATAGAATCGTCATTGGACTCTTTAACCCTAAATGACAACATCTGCACGTACCAGAGCTGTTCAGCGCGTGATGATTGTTGACAATGCTGAACGACTTTCACCCTATAGTAAACGCTGCTAAGAATACAGTCAATTTTGCCTAATGCAATTATTTTGGGTACTAAAAAATCCTGGGCAAATATCGACGTAATACCAACTGCATTAGCATCTTTTAGAATCTCTCTTCTCGACCCTTTTTAGTATTGGACTATCACTCTATCCTAAAGATTAAAGTACATCTGGATTTTCGACATAATTTTTATATCTTTTTGGTCTACATGGACAGAGAGAACGCCACTTGCTCTAGCATTTTCTTACAATAACGATAGCACTTCGCAGTACTTTTCATAGGATTCCTTGCACTTTAACTTACTGCCACTTATTGGGAAATCTCAACTTGCTACCAATAACCATTTCGCTTTTAACAACCGATACTTCGATTGCCTGATATTAGTTGTTCTGGCTACAACGCCATATGAAAGAACTTCTGTTATTTAAGTAATCTAGTCTTGCATGATGTTTACTTCGGAAAAAGATATTAATATTTGTACAATTTTTTCTATCAGATTAAATTAAGCACGCAAATGTTCTACCTCCTTGAGTTATATATTTCGTACTCTTACCATTTATCTCTTTTGCGTATAATCAACTCTCTACGTCTGGCGCATATTTTCGTTAAATTAGAAAACTTTGTACAAGAACTCATGAAAGCTAAAGTGTACCCGCAGTGATGAAAATAATTAACATTACTCTTCCTTCGCTATAATAAGCGCGGATTAAAACCCTATCAATTCATCCTGGAATTTCAAACATTCAATATTTTTGTACCCTATTCAACTTAATGATTGTTTAGACATGAAAAAAATCCTTTGACAAACAACTTTTTTTGTTAATCGAACAGGACAGCATAGTGAAAATATTTTTCTCTTTATTCTACATTTTAATTGTATAGGATCTGATTGAAGATTGAAAGAGTTCTGAGAAAGATTAGTGTATTATTCGACAATTCTCAGTCGGTAAGTGTGTCTAATCACCTGGAGATGAATGATTAATGTCTCTACTAGTGGTCATCTATTTCCGAATCCCTTCTTGACATACCTCCGTAGTCCTTCTATGTTACCTGTTACCTGTTACCAAAAGATCATAGGTGAGGTCGAAAAAGTAAGATCTGAAGGTCTAGGCTAACGAAAGTATTATGCTGAATAACTTTCCTTGAAGTCTGTGCATGCAACGAATGACGTCTCCAACTCGTCACCTTTGCCGGGGGTATCGGTTTGCAATTGCAAAATGCTAGGATACAAGTGAGTTTATATAAGGCGTTTGTGGCGCACCTTTTAAGTCGTCGTAGTTCCTTTTTTCTTGATTTTCAAAATAAAAGTCATAATCCACATTACCGTCATCAAGAGAGAGAAGCTCGCAACATAAAGAGTTTCCCGTGCAGGAAACGTTCTTAGACGCATCCGTGGCGCTAGAAAAAAACTGTGACTTTTGAATGGACCATCAATGGAATAGGATAAGCCATCTTAAAGTGTCACGCTATTTCTAAAATTACGCTAAACTTTCGCGTCTTTCGAAGCGCTGGCAAGATTTGCTATAATGTGCCACAATAAATTCGGTTATTTTATAAAAGGTAATTGCTTGTGCCACAGAAAACGCTAATTTAGCGTATTAAATGTTCTATAAATTTTTTTGACAGCGTAAACTATTATTCTATTGAAAATAAATGTAACTTTTCTTAAATGTGACGGAAATTTTGTTTAAAAAAGAAAAGCATGGTAAATCGGAATGAAAACGTGTGTGGACGTATTAAATTGATTTAAATGATGTATTGAATAAAAATTTGTTCAAATGTAAAATGAAGTCAATATCATCACCATTAACATTGCACAATCACATTGTCGCCTGTAAAATGGTTTTTATATATTAAAAACTGTAATCCGCAAGCACTACGCTTTAACCCATTTAACCAATTAGGCCATGGATAATTTTTACTCCTAGTGTAATATAATTCCTTGAAATTCATTATCGATACCACATTATAAATATTAAACAAGATATCTACTTTTTATTATCAAGTAGAAAGTCTCTTAAATAATTTCCGTGTACAGATTATTTCTACTATGGCGTTTTTTCAGTTGTAACAAAATTATGATCGTCTAAGTCATGTTCAAACTATCCACGATATTTACACAATATTCATAACAACGAATTTACAATATCGATTGTACTTCTTCCCAAGATATATTTTTCTGCAGAAAAGATAGTACGAAAAATGTTAATCTAATTGTGAGGCTGTGACATAAATAACAGAAGGTTTTTTCACATTTATATATGTTTTTTTAAATACAGTAACGTCCAATTGAAGTGCAACACTTGAATTTTTTTACATATCTGTGAAAGTATGACAGATTTCGAAATTTCGATTTCCATTTCGATTTCGAATAGTAAAGGTTTTATCCCGATCGGATACAAAATGGCCGAATGGCAGGGGTTGGAGTGAAGACGTGG